TATTTTATTTTATATTTTAAATCATATTAATAATGTAACTTCAATATTGACAAATGTCAACGATAAACACAGTGTATCTTCGATGAAATCGTGCGAAAATTATAATTGGCGAATTGGGCGCGCCCTGTTCAATAACTCCTAATCTCTTATTCCACGCGGAAGACACGCCGGGAAATTTGGAGGTGGCGTCCCTCCGAGAAACGACGAGAACGAGCGGGTCGAGTGAATTATGGAAGAATCAGGGAAGTGCGAGAAGCTGGGAAAGAGGATCGACAAGCTAGAGAAATACATTAGGATCGCAGCGAAATATTTTGATATCGGGACCAGTCGGCGCGAGCGAGAACTTATATCTCGCACGATGTATGGCCCCCGAGGGAGGTGTTACGCCAAGTGATAAAGTGAGGTGGAAAAATTATTGGCAGCGCGCGGGACGACGATCGAGGACGGCGAAATAATTTCGGTCTGTGCCTTCTGTGTCTTTTCATTTCCATGGAAACGACGTAGAAAGCGCTCGCCGAGATAGCGAATGTTCGACCGAAGGGCTGAGCGTCTTACACGCACGAGTTCCCCGAGCCGCAATCAATAAGAAGTCGGGATTGCTCCAGCGATTGCTTCGGGCTGAATAGTGGTAGAAGGAAGGAAGCGGATGGAGAACGCGCGCGGCTATACGACCGTGAGGGATACGCCGTGCGGATAAAAGAGAAAGGAGAACATTCTACATCTATCATCGCCGCGTAAATAGGGCGAGGAAAAATAACCGAGCACATACGATATTCCTGCAGTCGCGGTTGAAAGCGAGAGACGAAACTGTCCGACGTCTTTCGCAATCGCGAGCGTATAACGTCGTCGTATTTCAATGGATGAGTGTCTTTTTCTGGTCTATGGATTCATCGGAGCACCCGCGATTCTTTATCGGGCGAATGATACGTCTGCAAGTTATCGAGTGAGAACTATTTGTGACGATAGAGAGAACGAGACGTTGACATACATAAATTAATAATGAATATACATTGAGATATTAATAACTTTTTGCTATAATTTCTCTGATAATCGATGATGCTCGTTTTTCTTCTCTTCACCGAATTAACTTTAATTGAAATGAGATTATTCTCATCGTGAGACGAGTATATTTTTAATTACATTACTTGTGCTTTGATAGGAATGAATTTCCGCGAAATTGATAAAATCCAAAGATCTTAATTGCTTCACTTCTTCCTATTGTAAGTTTTTCGATTTCTCGCTATCTACTGTATTATTTCAGCAGCATGCCTTCGGTCGTATATTCTCTCAGACACCGATTCTTTACTTAAATATCATTAACATTAACTGTGCGTTTTAGCCTCAACTTTTACACGGAATTAACAAGGGACCTATTCGTGCACGCGATCCGAGCTTTCAGTAAAAATCCGGGTCAAAGTTACGAGCCATTCGGGAGCCACATAAACTCATTAAGAGCTAAACGAAACGAGATATCGCGGCGTGTATTGCTACATGCTTCGCGCACCCTTTCGGCTGATCGACACGAGCTCTGGTAAGCAAGGACGGGCGAGCGGACGAGCCGACCGAGAACCATTTTACGAGGACAAGACTCTAGAAGGAGGAATAGAAAAGTTAAACGTCCGCAAACTTTCCACCGCGCCCAGTTTCTGATCTTCCGTTTCCTTAGCGCAAGATTCCTCGCGTCGTTCTCATTCACGCTCTTCGCCGAATGTTTCGTTCCGTCGCCGACACTGCGAAGTCGCGACAATGACGAGCGTTTCGGACGAGGCAAAGGTACTTTTTTGCCAAACAAAGAATCGAAAACAAACAGGAAGGATTCCGCGACAGTAAAATCGCGGGATGGTAGTGTGTTTCTGAATTTCCGATACATAGCCTGCCTTGTAATCCCTGGTTGGATACTCTATCGGCCTTTTATCGAAGGCCGGAGTTGGGATCATTTTGATATCGTGTGTCAGGTTTCTAGTCTCTTTTACGAGGCGACAATTCCCATTTCGTCGTAAAACTGCTTTTCTTCACTGCGATATGGATGTAAGCTCTAGGGTTGTAGCTGCTATAGCGCGATTTAGAAACAGTAACATTGTTAATGTTTTGTCGACACGGGATATGAGCCTGAATTTTATTAATAGATTCTAAAGTGCTGAGAATAGCAGAATATTCCTCTGAATATTTCTATAATAGAATAATATTCTTATAAGCATTAAATATTTAAATTTGATTTTTATTTAATAACATATTTACGTGAAACTAAAATGATGTGACAAAATTATTATTATGTTAATTCAGCTTGCACATGTTATTTTATGCATGTGTTTGTCGATGTTAATTGTCATGGCTGCTCGCAACAACGTAAACACTAACAAATCTAATTACGCTGCTGCGTGTGTCGATGCATTTATTTTATATCACACAATGTAACATCTAGTGCTCATTAAAATCATCAAGAGAGAAACAACGAAAATGTTTCTTTGTGAATCGCTGTTATAATATTATAGATCGCGTAATTACAAACATGATAAATATGTTTATATACGTGTATATAAACATAGCATCAAAACGTACATATATATAGCACGATATTATTTGTTTCGCACATGTTATTTCCAAATATTTTGCACAAGAGATATTCTATTGCTCAATATTATTTTCGCGGTATTATTGATTAATATCGTAGAGTCAAAATATTCTATACGCAATTTTATTATTATCCAGACATTAAAATACGTCACGAAAAAGTGTTCAATCTCACTAAAGCACAGTTGATATTCCGTATTTCGCCTTATATGACATCACGTTTCGATGACCACTATCCTTGAAGAGTATACGTGCCCATCTAAACGACTAGCAGCTGTGTTGCACTCACTATACCTATGTACCCTCAACTTTTACCAGCGATTGCTTCCGTTTTGGTCTCTCGAGATTCCCGTCAAGTAAAAACCCGCAGATTCGAAACAGTATTCGAACTTCAGCTTCAATTCGTATGTGACGTTCCGAAACTCACGTACCTTAAGTAAACACGGGGCTACTCTCTAGTGATAAAACTAATATTTCAAAGCAAAGTACGTAGTTTCTGAAAGAAAAAAAGAAATGTCTTGACTAAAAAAGTCGAGCAGAGATCTAATGAACTAAATGGTAAATCGTAGTAATCAGCAGAGAATATAAGATAAGACAAGCTAGTGAGATCTTATTTTAAATCACTTAAAAAATCGTGATATAGGCAAAACTTGATAACTTACAACAATTATTTAATTTATGCGGTAATCAAACTGTGCTTTGCCTGACAAAAGAGTAGACAGATTTATTGGGAAAACCCGAAAAATTAACTTAAGTATATCACAACTCAATAATCTCCTCAATTTCCTGCCTATCGTATATTTATACACGTTTGAATGAGTGTACGATGTATCAAATCAGGTAATTTGCGGAAAACAGGGGAAAATAGTAGTATACGTATATTTTTATAATATTACGGCGCGATGTACATAGCAAAGGATACTGAGAGCTATTACGATGCTTTAATAATGAATGAAAATGCTTCACATTCTCATCGTTTAATTAATTCTTTCCGGCCGCAATGTGACGGCAGAAAAGTATTTAATTACTCTACACGTGGCGCGTAACTTTTATGTAATCGTTAGCCGTATGGTTTCACGCGGTAACATTAAAACATTACGACGGTTATTATTCGGCTATATCCATTAAAAAATATTATCATAATCACGATGTAATGTTAGCCGGCTTTTATCTGTGAGAGAACGAATTAATGTAACGAACTAAAAATTTTCGTTTTCATATTTTAGAGAATTTTTGTGACTAAAACGTGGCGTGTTTATGTGTGACTAAAACGAAGATAAATTTGTAATATACGAGTTTACTCACACGAACAACGTATGCATTAGTTATTACAAACAATTTTTATTGGGAGTTGAATTTTTGCACAAGTGTGGAAATATATGCAGACTACTATTTTATGCAATCCTTGATGCTTAAAATACATTACGGAAATATTTTTTACGTACATAACGAAATATCGTTAGCTACAAATTTTTATGTTGATGTTTAGAGTACTACTTCAAATATGCCTGATATACCTGAACACATATTATTCATGCGGACTTAGCTTTGCTGCATGATTGCTTATCTAAACTTAAATCGCACATTTTTTAATTAAAAATATTTTATCGCAGAGTTTAGTTTCTTCGGTGCAATGTATTTATGTTCCCGTAATATTTTCTAACGAATACGTAAATCTTTCTCAGTCAAATCTTCTCTTTAATTCTTCGTATATGTGATTCACCTACTTCATAATATAGTATCTTATTTAACTCGCTGAATCGCGCGTGAGCGGTTGACAACAAACTTCGCGCGCGCAAGTGTACTCGAAATGTAAATATACGAATTAAACCATTTGAATATAGCTACAGTTTATTTGTTTTACCGAAATGTAACCACATTAAACAGATTAAAGGAATGCATCAACTCAGCACGGCGCTCTGCCGCCGCGCTCCGCCATTTCTCAGCAGGTCGTCAAAAGTTTAAGCCGATAATTAATATGTTGCTACCGTAACACGGTTAGGTTACACGTTATGCCGGCACGCAGTCTTGACTGTTATAATTAAATTTAGAAGCAGATAGCGCAAGGTAGTTAGCCGCAACCTACAATGCGGCTGAATACAATGCGACACGCCGCACAATGTCATGTTCGTTAGACACCAATCGCGACACAATGTATCCTCGCATATTACTGACGTCATGTGAAATCACAATTCAATTTGTAACTCACGAACATACATCGCGGGGCATCTATAGTTGCGTTTCGAATAATTTTTATCGTTCGGCTCGCGTCAGCGAACGGGAAAAATTGTTCCCCCGCGTGTTGCACGCGCCTGCCGTTGATATACGCGAACGCAGCCCGAGTGTGCGGGCAAAAATATGAGATCGCGCAACGCGAACGTCGAATAACGTCAACGGTCTACTCTGATAAGAGATTTTATCGGACTCACCGGTAACCTTGATGTAATAGGGTAACTGAGCTCGCCACGTGTCCTGCATTTTCCGATCGGGTGCGACGCATCGATACTCTCCAGCTTCTTGGTACACCACGTTGCTCAGAATAAGATGTCCGGGCCCACCAACCGGATCCATTCCGGACCCGTGGCCCCAGCAGCCGCCGTCGCACTCGAGGGTCACCGCGCCGCCGATCTGCACTTCCATCTTCCGCGAATCGGTCGCCTCGCCGTTCAGCGCTTCCGCCTCGGTCTCCATATCTGGATCATCTAAACGCCATTGATTTAAATCTCTCAACGAACAACGAACCTGTGAGTCGAATTTAAACGCCGCGTGATGCCGCTCTCGCGCGCATTACCGGACGAAAGGGTGAGGCAATATGCGCAAAAAGTAATCCGCAATGTGGATACAGCGCTCGCCGCGAAACGGCGCTTTTAAACTTTTTTTCTCCGATCTGCAGTCCATCTTTCTGTACTTTGCGAATGTAGCGAGGAACGTGGGTGAGATATGCGATTCCGTAATACAAGTACCGTAAAATGCTTTAAAATGAGAATTCTAAATTTTATACGCTCGCGTTTAGAAAGGCAGCATCCTCGATCATCCGTCGGTACATACGTCGTACTTAAATTCCGCAAATATAAATTTTCCGTTAGAAGGAAAATGCTTCCTTCAAATGTGTCGCGCAATCGATAGCTTCTCGACACGAGCCATAATATAATTTTCAAACACATTTACTTTTTGCCGTTACTTTCGAATTGCCGCTATAATATTACTCGCTCGCTGTTATCGATATCGAGGAGTTGTCCTGATATCAGAATCAGTGGCACGTACGAGAAATAAAGTTGGAACAAAATCTCCACCCTCACGTGCCGGGCTACAACAAAATCTTTTCCCCACCGTGACGTTACGTCGCGACGTACTGTCGGTACGAACTTCTTCCTCCCGTTTCTCCCGTCCTTTTCCGATTCCACCTATGGAATTATACGGCTACGATCGTTTGCTCTCCCGCTAGCGCTGTGTCCACAGTTGCAGAGGAACGGTGCGCGACGGGAAACGCGCGGAGCAAGGAGACGGAAAGTGGTGGCGGGGGGGGGGGTGTTTCTCGTGTCTCTGTTCGAGAATTAGAGCCGGACCGGTACGGCGGAATTCGCCTGAGAAGGAGAAAGAAGCGACCCCCGAGAGAGGGCGGGAGGGGGAGAACGTAACAGTCCTTTGAGTTAGCAAGCTGATCCTCCCGGCTCATCCTATAGCAAAACAAAGGGATCAAAGCGGTGTGGATGCGATAGGAGGCTTTCACTTCCTCTCACGCTCGCTCGACTCTCAACTATACCTCGTTTGTCTTGTAGTTTGTTCGGAATTTTACAGCAAACACCGTTGCTGTGGCGCTTTAACAAACACGTGAAAGGAAGGGCGAGAGGCAAAAGGTGGCTCGATAATTTGACGTTTTTCGTCAAGCCGGCGTTACTCCTTTTTTTTCGACGGAGCCTCCTCGTTACCTCCGAATTTGATCTACGTCTGTTCTTCTGCGGCGAGCATCCTTGTGATCGTCCTAAATCTTAATCCGATTCGCGTGCGCCAACGTGATTAGGGACCTCATACACTCGTCCGTCTGTGATCACGTTATCTCTAATTACTTTGATATGCCTTTCGTGTCCCTACTAATTGAATTACGCGCGTCTAAGATGCTTTGTTGAATCGAACGTTTTATGCATATATGCGATATAATATACGGAGCAACTTTCTGGAGACCAATTAATATATAATGATATTTTTCCAAACTTACGAGAGTATTTAAATGCGCAAATATCGAAGTAGCGAATGAAGGATAATTTTAGCAGTTTTGATAGGAATCGCAAAAAAAATCTATTTGCGTGCCAGTAGCATCGATCCTCTCAACTTGTCCCGTCTCTTTAAACTACGTCCTATCTGCGACTGTCTGGCAAGCCGGTGAAATTAGCGCGACGGTTTAAATCCGCCATGACGTTATCCGGCAGATAAGTAATCCAGGAGGAGATTCGAACAGGACGTGGTAGCAGTGTAATCGATAATTCCCACGAAGGAGGACGGTTGGTTTATAGGTGCTCTCGAGCCATCTAAATTGCGTAGAGATTAGGTGCTCGGAAGCCCGTATCCAGCGTCGTCGGTCGAAGGAGCACACGAGAGCGCGAGTGAGAAGGAGGGAGGGAGGGGAGGGGAGAGGAGGAACAGCAGAGGGTTAGATAGAAGACGAGAGAAGGGGAGAAGAGAGAAGGGGATTCGCGGGTTTGAGATGCAGGGAGCGCATCGCCCTCTGGTTATAATGGCAAGATGGAAGGAATGGGGCTAGGTAGGAAATTTGCAAATTTTCACGATGGGGCACGGATAATTTCCGGTTGGCTCGGCGGTTTCCGCCCTTGACAAATGACTGTGGTTTCCGGTTATTGGCTGCAGCGACGACCCCCTTCGCATTCCAAATCAGGGAGAATGTCTCTTCGAGTGCTATCAAATGCACAAGGGATAGACAATACATCAGTCGAAAGATGCACTGCGATGTAATTATCTTAAGTTGATATTTGAATATTCCATTACTTTATGTGTGTATTTTTTTAACGCTAGGTGATTCTTTAATTTACTAAAATATAGCTTTAAAAAAGAAATTTATACTCGAAGTAATGATCTGATAAAAAATGTAATTAATATAGACAAATTTATTTCTATAGGAAATATAAATGCGCTAATAATAATTTAAATTCTGCAAAGAAAATTCTGTTTTTACGCTCTATTTTGTATTATGTGGAATATCGTAAAATGCGATAAGGTTAATGTTCTAACAGCTGAACATTTAAAAAATGTGCTTATCTATTTCTGATTAAATTATTTTTATATTTTGGCGCATTTTCTATTTCCTATGTTAATTGCGATAATCTCCGTATTCTTAACAAAGACCCATTATTTTCGATGACATTATTATAGAAATTAATAATCACAAGCATCATAAAAATCTCGATTTAGCAAGCTAATTTATGAAAAGTTTCTTTGGAGCCTCCTTTCAAAAGAAATGATTTTTCTCTTTTCCTTTCCACTGAAAGAAATGCATTTATTAACTCGATTTCCCTGTCTGAATGCACGAGAAATCCTTCCTGGGCTATTGAAAATGACAAAGTGGCGCGACAACGATTTACTCACAGCGAACGTTGAGAAAATATCCGATGCTGGTGAAAATGCCGAGCATATGCCGCGTATAGCACTTGTACCAGCCGCTCTCGGCCCGAGTGATTTTTGTGAAGTTTAACCATCCGTCATCGCTCTGCTCCACGGGGGGCGGACCATTGTCTGAAACACAAGCGGAAAGCTGGTGGATATATGAATTAACGCGCTGGAAACAGCACGCACGGTCCGCGGATTTGCGTTAACGTCGTCGCGCAGTTCGCGTCAGCCGTGCGAGCCGACTGCGAGCGGCTCCTCTCGTGTGACGATTTTTCACAGAGATGCCGCTCACACAATTTGACAATTAACTGCTTAGAATTGACCATTATTATTCGAGAAAAAAGAAAACCTGTTAAAAACCAAAGTTTCTGTTCTGAAAATCTCCATGCGTTTATTTACATCAGATTCGCCACTTTGCGAATATATAAACATATTTTTTTACACAATTGTATAATAATGTCAACATATGTGTGTGTGACATATGTTCATATATATTCTTATTTACACCTGATTCTTTATAAAAATAAAAAGTCACTTTTTTTCTATAATGATAGATAATTATCATCTCACAAAGTGATATCAGTAGTATAAACATAAGAATAATCAGACCGTAAGATGTTATTTCTAAATTGGATCACATCACACGGTTTTAACAATTCTCTCTCGCTCAAATTGTTACCGAATTGTTGTAAATTGATGTCTGAGACATCATTTACTCCATTAGATGTAATTATGCTGATTATAGAATGTATCATTTCCGCGATTAAAAGCTCTCCAATGGTGGAATTAATATTGCATCGGCAGACTGTCTGTCTGCTTCCGATGGTTTCGAAACAAAAAGAGAGAAACAGAGACGGCAAGTCACTCGTTTAAATTGTCCGCAAGATAATTAGGATAATTACGCAATACGTCAGTCTCGAGCGCGAGCGAATTAAAAATTTATCGCTGCGATAGAATTAAAAATTTATCGTCGACCAAGCGCCATTGCCGTCGAGTCGCGACAAGAGAATGATTGAAGCGGGACGGAACAGTGAGTGCGGCTGAAAAGGAGTATCCGAAAGGACACTCGTTCAACTTATTCATAAGTGCGGAAGTGGCTCGGAGAGTGCCGGTATCACTGGAAATTACGCTGGCCTTCCTTTTGCCGCTTACCACCAAACTTTCATCCAGCCGTAACCCATTTCTTTCCTCACTGCGTCCTCACCGCTCGTTCCCCTTTCCCTCTCTTCCTCTTTCTCTCGTCCTCGTTACAGCCAAGCCTGCGAGGATTCGACGCAGCTGTCGGATTCGCTTGTTGAAAGTATATCGCTCTCGCGAATGTGAAACTACCGTGGTTCGGGGAACAAAGGAGAAGCGTAGCCGGAAGACACGCTCATGAAAGGTGGAGGATTACACAAGGGGTGATGCGGGAAAGTATCGGTAAAAGCATCGAAGAAGAGAACGAAAAGAGGAACGAAAAGAGGAGAAGATAGAGAAAGGGAGAGAGAGAGAGAGAGAGAGAGAGAGAGAGAGAGAGAGAAGAAGGAGGAGAG